AAATAATTCTCATACTATTTATACTATTGAAATGCAATAAAAAAATAAATATTATTTAAGATAAGACACAAATTCAATTTTTATATAATTTTTATATATATTAAAATAACGTGCAACGAGTATATTTATATATAGATATTACCAAACGAAATAACTTTTTACATCCGGATATGTCCTAGAGTTTATGCATGTTCAAAAAGAAACGTTTTTTTCATGCGTTTATTGATAATAATTTACATTTATCTTGTAAATTCAAAGTCGTTCGAAATGTTTTTTTAGTTAAACGTGTCCTAAGCGAAACATAAGATATATAATAGTATATCAAATGTATAAAAATATCTATTTGACTGTTCATTTATTCATTTAATATTCATTAATAGATACATTTTTGTATACATTGACTTTTGTTTATAATTAAAGTTTAATCCCCTCGTTATGGCAATAAGGTGCATTCTCTTCAACCGGTACATAAAATGTACCTTGAGCAGGATAACTTTTTGCATTCAATCCAACGCAAACACAGGTGTTTCTTTTGCAATCCTTAAGAGGTTCCCCTGCACTGAAAATAAAAAGGATTTTTTAATAAATCGTTATATAAAACAATAAAAATATGTAAATTTAATCGAAATAAAAAAGAACTTGATAATATTGAAGAATAATAAATACCTCCAATAACTAGGCCATGGTGTTCCAATTAAACAACATTCTTGTTTTATGCACTCAGTAAGATATTTCACGGCTTTCGTATGAGAACAGGATGGATCTTCCAATGTAAAAATGATTTTAAAACTATTGCATTATAAATGTGTAAACATTTGAAACAAAAATGATTCCTTGAAATGTTCATTCAATGAACTTATAATCTAATATATACATACTAAGACGGCAACCGGGTTGATGACTTCCATAATTCATATAAAAGTCAACGGTACCAATCTCCGAATATTTTCCTAATACAGCTGACGTATGAAAAACTTGAACATATTCTGCGTCTGTTTTGCACAGTCTTTCTGAACACCCATTCGTTCTAAAAGATGGCCCAGCCGGATCAAGACCGATAATTTCGCTATATTTCCCTAATTTTAAGTTTTGAACTTCTTTTCCCGCAAAACCTGAAGTATGCGCACCCAAACTATGCCCGATCAATCGTATATTCGATATCTTCACTTTGTAATTGTCTAAGAGTTTCTTGGTAAATCTACAAAAATAAATGAGAATAATAATAATAATAATAATATTGAAGAGAATATAAATATTAATTAAACCACGAATGTGTCTTTCTGAATATTTTTTTTGTTATTTACGTAGCGATATATTTCCCAACAAGACGTGTATTTTGAACGGCTGTATTATAACCAGCTAATCGGCCGATATTGCCACGATTACAAGCACCCCTTCTCCAATCGGTCGAGAATACGAGAAAATCATCCTAAAAATGATCGATAATTTATTCATCAAGAAGTAAATATTGTGATAATTCAATTTTAACATAATGAAATTTTTTTACTTTCTCTATCAAAGCTTTCGCCATTTCTACGAAATTTTTATTATTTCCAGATGAGAGGAAACCATGTGTAATGAATACAATTGGTTGCGTTATTTGTGATTTTGTAAATACATCGAAAGTCGTCATGTTCCGTTCCGTAAGAATAATACCATCTCGTTTTTGTCTAAAGTATATATGTATATATATATATATATATATATAGTTGTAAATTGATGTAAATATCTTTGTCAGATAGTTTTTTCTATAGAAATAATCAACAGCATTCTTTACATATAAAGTAAAAGTAATAAATAATCGTTTAGTCATTACCTTGTATATACAAAGAACACAATATCCTCAAGATTGAAAGTACAATCAGGAATCAGGACTCTTTCCAACATAACATTTTTTTCTAACGTCGAATAATCTAAGAAAATAATGAATCTTTACGTTTTCCAACAAATTTATTATCTTTTCAATTGTACATTTTTATACATTTATTTAAGTAAAATTCGCTCAAACGCGATCTAAATTAATTTTAGAAAATGCAAAGCAATTTACCAGTTGCGTAACAATTATTTACCACTTCCAGAAAACATACAAATAATATCGAATATTTGAAATTCATTTTTTCTAATATTCATTTATTGTAGAAACTAAAGCAAGTTTATTTCGATTGAAGAATATTAACAGTACAAATAAATCTAATACTATTTATACTATTCGAGTACATTAAAATAAAAAGATTACGATTAAGATAAGTCACACACATATTAGGTTTATTCATTTCTATAAAATATAGAAATAGTAAGTATCGAATAGAGATATCATATATAACAATTGAATTTATTATATCCGAAAATGCGTCAGAGTTTTTCATCATAAAGAAAAAATAGTATTGATATTTTTATCGGCAATAATTCACGTTTTTCTCGTAAATTCGCTTCCTTGTAAAGTGATTTTTCGTGAATTCAAAATCGTTTGGAATTTTTTTATTAGCTTAACGTGTCTAACAATAAACCTGAAATTTTATTTTTGCTCTATTACAATGTAAACAAATTCTCAATATTGTGTATTAAGAAAAATAAATACGCTCGTGTGTGTACCATGAATATAGACAAAAATTTATTTTATTTTTATTCAAATAACTATACTTTTAATTATTTTTCATCTTCTGGATGCATAGGCGCCATGATTTAAATAATAGAAGCTTCCATATTCGAAGTAATAAGAAGAAAAAAGTGTTCGGACAATGATTTTATAGCAATCACGTTTTTGATATAAAATTTATTTGTTTCCGCTTATTTTTCGTTGTCACGCTTTACACTGTTATCTTCATATTACATTTTTATGATTAGAATTCGTTCGGTCGCGAACAGTGGACAATATACATCGTTTCGTTATACATGTAAGACTAATAATGCCGACAGAAGAAGATTTATTGCATATATAGAGAGACATTCTGTTTAAATAATAGATCATCCAGATACAATAGTATTGGAATTCCAACGTGGAAAGATCGATCTACCGTGATTCATAATATATTCGAAATATCAAATGTAAAAATATTATAGCTAATTGTAAGTATTTGCTTTATTATCTTATTTTATGCATAACTTAACGTTTTCATTCCTACTGTCGTTTTATTTTTGGAAAATTGAAAAGATATGCATTTGCTTGTAACCTATCATCATTGTGTATTTATTAATGTTATCATAAAAATACTTAAACGAGTAGTATACGTATGTACATTTGTAGATAAATGGACAATCGCACATTTGCATTAGATATGCAATTATATTGGTGAATACATCCTTCAAAAAAATATTTTTTTTTTGAAGAATATATTTAGCAAGATATATATGAAACAAAAATAAATATCTAAATAATTTATGCGACTTAAAATTAGCATTAACTCTCATGTTTGGTTCATTTTTTATTTATAATAATATTTTTTACATATATTATGTAGACAAAACGAATATACAATAACTAATACAATAATTATTATTTATGTAAATATATATATAAAAATATTTCTATGTATATAATTTAATTACTTATTCATTATTACATGTATTAACGTTTATAAGAATTTCCTTTTTTAATTAAAGCTTAAAGCCTTTGTTATAGCAATAGGGAGAGTTGGCTCCAACTGGTACATAAAATGAGCCATCGATAGAATAATTCTTTGTGTTCAATCCAATACAAACGCAAGTTTTATTTGTGCACTTTGAAAGAGGAATCTTTTTGCTAAAAATCAAATAAATTTGTTGCATTTAATAATATATAATATTTTCGATATATTTATTATTTATAAACTAAACGCATGACGACCATTTCACTTTCATTCTATGCAAAAATCAACATAAAAAATCTCCATAATACTTACTGATAATAATCCCACGGTATACCAATTAAACAACATTTATATTTTATACACTCGGTAAGGTATTCCACAGCTATAGAATGAGAGCAAATCACATCTGTAAATGTAAAGATTATTAAAAAATTATCTGTTCCATTTTTGTTAGTAAAATAACAAAGCGAATAATATAACAGACTTTTGTATTATTTTTGTTGCAATGTATGAAAATTATTGACAGAAATGAATATATATATATATATATATATTAAAAGCGAACGAATAATTTCTTATACATTAGATAATTTTATTTTAAACTCTTATCTTCATTCAGTACACCTGTTATCTATTATACACGTACTAAGTTTGCAATTGGGTTGAGTATGTCCTGCATTTATATAGAAATCAATGTTTCCTAAACGTATGTCCGTTCCGATGAAGGTAGTTGTATGTAGAATTTGAACATATTCTGCATCTGTTTTGCAGAGTCTGTCCGAACATTTCTTGTTCCAGAATAAGGGCCCAGCGGGATCAAGCCCAGTAATTCGAATATACTTTCCTATATTTGACTTTTGGATTTCTTTCCCTGCAAAACCTGCAATGTGTGCGCCCAAACTGTGTCCAATTACTTGTATTTTTTGTATAGGCACCTCATAATTTTCTACGAGTATCTTGGTAAGACTATAAAAAGAACAAAAATAATATTAGCATGTAATATAACGCGATTAATTGTTTTACCGTCTAAGTGGAAAATGCCGAGATTCACCGAAATGCCTAGGCATTGCCCACAATGCCAAGCGTTTTAAGACAATGTAAGAAACAGAAGAATTGATTGACACAATAAGATTCTTCTTTTCCGCAAACTATTGTTGATAACATAATAAGGAAAAATAAAAAATAAACGAAACAATTACGAGAAAGAAAGAATTTGTAGGAATAAAGACAACAATGTAATTTTCAATTAAAACATATTTCTTTTTCACGTTTTATATGAAAACAATAGTCGATCTATCTTTGACGCGTTATATAGGGAATTCTACTGTATTTAAATATTAAATTTACTATAATATGTGTTTTCCGTTACTTACTAAGCGACATATTTGCCAACCGCCTTCGTATTTTTAGCGGCTTCAGGATAACCAGGTAATTGAAAAATAGATAAACCGCCATCACAAGCCCCCTTTTTCCAATCAATTGATATTACATGTACATCCTCCTTGAAATGATATATATTATAAGAAATTCGTCAAAAGTACTTCTTTTTTCGTAATAAATTGTTGAATAATCATACTTTTTCTAACAAAACGTGTGCCAAATTCTTATAATTAGAATTATTTGGACTTGAAATAAAACCATGTATAAGGATTACAACTGGATGTACTAATTTTTCTTTTCTAAATATGCCAGAACTCGTTAAATTCTTGGTCGTAAGATTGATACCATCTTTATCCTTCCTTAAAATGTACAATTATTCTATATATTTTTATTTGGTACTCTAATAATGACACTTAAAGAAAAGAAAAGGATATTGACCTATTACAGAAAATACCGAGACGTTTTTAATCTAAATAATCTATTAATCATTACCTTGTAAAAAGAATAATTGAAAGCATATTGACACCATAGTAACAACTTGGAATCACTTGCTTCTTTAATGCAGTATTTTTTGGAATTATTGATGGAAGCAACGAACCTTTTTTCGAATGGGATAAACTGTTTTTATGGGACGACGTATCATCTATGAAAATAATAAATTGATGTTTTTAAAGTAATCTATTAACTTTTGTGTGTGAAGAAGTTCTTAAATAAAATAAATTTTTAACATGAGCTCAATGAATTTTAGAATATACAAAACAATTTACCATCTGCATAGCAATTATGCAGTATTCCCATAAAACACGCAAATAATATCAAATATTGTAAAATCATTTTTTCTTATTTTTATTTACAGTTAAAACAAAAACACAATCCCGAATCAAAAAAATATTGGCAGGAAAAATAAGTTTTCTATTACTATTTATACTATCCACAGAGGCATTACAACCTAAACATTGCAATTAAGATAAGGACATACTTAGTTTATACGTTGTATAAAATATTTAAGTAATGAGTATTGAGTACATATTATGTAACGACGAAATTTTAAATATCCAAATTGTGTTAATCATAAGCATTAACAAGAACTTATTCATATGTTTATCTGCAATAATTTGTTTTCCTCAACAAGTAATGATGTTGGAAAATTACTTCCGTGCATGATTACTTCATCGTTAATATGAAATCGTTTGAAATTTATTGTAAACTACGCATCTAAGTAATAAGAATATTACTTACAATTAGATTAACTTAAAATTAAATTTTGTTCGTTTCAAATTTTTAAATATATCTTATACATTATTCTGGAGTAAATATTTCTTCGTTTATTTTTAACATTATCTTGCTAATTTATAAAACATTATCTAACATATTTAATACATACTTTAACCACATAATAATAAATATTCTTAATAAATATATATTAAATCTTATTATAATTAGTTTTTAAAAAAGGTTCGTGCAATACTTTATGTAGCCTTTCTGCTTTTAGAAAACTAAACCCAGGACATAAAGCTAAAGTATTAGTCGATGCATTTACTATATCTTTTAGCGTGCCAAACGTTGATAAAAGTGTTGTCGCATCTGTTTTGTTAACAGACCTAATTGTGGTAAATGCATTGGCCAACTGAAAATTGATACAAGGAAAATAAATAACATATTTATGTCATACTATTGATAATACATAAAAAAAATCCAAATAACCATGAAACTATATTTACTTTTTGATAGGGAGCAGTTCCACTGCGGTCCATTATTATATCAGGTGGTTTGTTCTCATAAATTTTATAAGTTTCTATAATTTTTCCTGCATCTTCCACATTCCAAGCTAACATCAGCGTTAAATCAGCGAGTATACACATTCGTGTCAAATGTTTTAAGGCATGATGTGGATCCGCAACATCTACCTGCATGTTTGACAAATTAATTATCGATATTAATGTAGAAATAAATAAAAAACATAGGTCAAAGATATTTTAACCTGAACCAAGAGGACTCGAAGATTGTAGTCATTGCCTAATAACTTAAGACGGTCATGAATGTAATCCGGATTCAATTGATGATATCTTATGGATAAAAAAAGAGCGCACGTAGTCTTTCCCATCACATAATCTGGTACAATGTCAGAATATTCCCAAGGTATATTGATTATAAATTTCAACAAGGGATTTCCTTTCTGTAAATATTGACATAATCAATAAATGCTTTTAAATATAAAATCATGTAATGAAATTTCCTAGATAACCTTACTTGTTTTGGGCTGACAAGGAGAGCATTAGACCGTACATTAATCTTCTTTGTCGATGGTCCTGGATTTTCTGTAGGATAATCAATGAAATGTGTGTATAAAATGAGATATTGTTGATAAAATGAGAAAAAATATGAGATTTACCGGGAAATTCATCATTAGCTTTTACTTGTTTGGATGAAAAAGTATTTTGGTTATTGGAACCCTCTCTTTTATTGTTCATTATTCAAAAAGATGCATATCGAAGCACATAAAAATCCTAATAGAACTTAATCCGTATTTATTTCTTCGAATAGGAAAAAAAATCTAAAATTGTCAAATTAGAAAAACAATAAGAAGACCGGTATATTATTTGGGAACAGTAGCGCCACAATATAACCCTACGATGAAGCGAATTAAAGGAATATTTGTATCAATAGAATAATGAAGTTAGGATTAGTCGTACGTGTACCCGTAGCCGCGTATGTGCTGTAACATTTGCTATGGGGGACCTTGAACCTTATTCGGATAATTAAGACAAAGATCTATCAAATTCGTTTCGTAATGTTATTTTTCTCATAAATTATCGAAAATTTCCAACTCTATTAAACATATGGGACCGGAATTTTCAAGACAAATTATTTCATGATTCGTTTATTTTCAAATCGTCTTCTTTATTTATTAATAATATTCTAAATGTAATTGTAGCTCTTATCGAGCCGTTTTTTATTTTTATATTTATATTGTTAAATTGTTAATTTATTTATCCTTGATTTATACCTAAGTAAACAATTGTATATTAATGAGTAGATTTTAAATATTAAGTTTGTATTATAATTCGATATTTAATTGATGCTTAAAATACGTAAAAACATGTTTCTTGTTTGCGTAACCGTGGGACTAGTCCTGTTAGCTTCCAAGTATCGTAATAACGTGCTTCGAGGCGTCAAAAACATATATTCCGGTATAAAACGTAAAGATAATAAATCGAGCAATAAAATTAAAGAAGAAATAAAAATAGAAGTAAAGCAAGTTATTCTAGCTGACTCTTTAGAAAAATCCGATTATGCTGTTCAACGTATTAATTGGTGAGTACAAACATCTGTAACCTTCAAATAATATAATACATTGTTTTTCTTACCTTTTCTCTCATTTCACTGAATAACCGAGCCTCTGTTTGTTTACACTTTTTCGTTCGTTTTCCTTAATCTCATTCAAATCTTTCTTCTTATTTTTCCTTCAAATATTCATTAATTATATTTCAAATAATGTTAAGTTTATCTCTTCTATATTATATTATTTTTATTCGAATAATACAAAAGTAATAAAATGTATACTTTCAGCAATTTATCTGGTGGTATACTAGGTTTCGATTGCGAATGGGTAAACGAAGGTCCCGTGTCTTTACTTCAACTTGCTACGTATAACGGAGTATGTGCTTTATTTCGTATTGGTAAAATTGGATTCATTCCTCCAAATTTGCAGGTATATTTATATATATATATATATATAATTATCTTGACACGATAAAACGAATGATGTTTCAAACGATAACGATAAATGAATGTTTTCTTAGAAATTGCTGTCCAGTAACCGTATACTTAAAGTTGGCGTAGCCTCCTTCGAAGATGGACAAAAAATAGAAAAAGATTATGGATGTTCCGTTTTAGGAACTCTCGATTTAAGAACGTTAACAGAACGTCTTCAACTTCCTACTCCTAAAAGTTTAGCAGCGATGTGTGTAGAATACCTTGGAACAAAAATCGAAAAATTAATAGAAGTGAGATGTGGTGATTGGGATGCGGATGCTCTTACTGACGATCAAGTAGTGTATGCTGCTTGTGATGCCATGGCATCGGTTCTTATTTATCATCAGGTATATATATATTTAGACAAATTACAATCAAACAATTATAATGAATTTTTCTTGTTTATCTAATAGGTAATGCAAGAAGCCAAACAAAAATTATCATTTTTCGAGAAATTAGTAATATATTTTTGGAAAATTTGGTCTAGAGATGAAGGTGTAAGATATCATGGTTTACCCACAGGAGTAATCAATGTAAGGTGTGTACATTTTATTTTCCCAAAACAGAAGTATTAATCCGCAACAGAATAATATGCATAATATTATTTATTGATTATTATTTGTATATATTTACCGATGTTGCATGTTCAAGGTTCAAGGATCAAAAAACAAATATTATTAACAATAATTATAACACTACTAATGTAATCAAAGAAGGATTGAATGCAAATGCGCATGAAATTAATAGCATACCCATAAGAAAAAAACCATTATATCATAATTGCTATTTACAAGCACCAGATGGAGATATATTGTGCACATGTGATCGCAAAAAAGCAGAATGGTATATCAAGAAAAATTTAGCAGATGTCGTCGAAGAACAACCCTTTACAGTGAGATTAAAATTTGAACCATCGGGACGTGCGTTAGGAGAAGTTGGTCAATATTATACTCAAGTTAAGGTTAATCAATGCGTTGTTTGTGGTGCTTCGGAAAATTTTATTCGAAAAAATGTAGTACCTAGAGAATATCGCAAATATTTTCCATGTAAGTTATCATTTGATACAATGATGCAATAATGTACATCAGCAATGTCAAGCTTGTGTAGAAATGCGTTTAACTTTATCGATGTATATTCATATATGCTTATTGAATTAGAGTAAATGCACCTCAATATGTAACAATATATTTATATGCAATGAATTATTTCTAGTGGTAATGAAGGCTCATCAATCTCACGATGTATTATTATTATGTCTACCATGTCACGAGGTCAGTAAGAATCACGATCTGCAGCTCAGAAGAAAGCTTGCAGAAATGTGTAATGCACCTCTGTCAGGCCCACTCACTCATTCCAATTGGAAAAAATTGCATTGTGCTATTAAAGCTTTACGCAAGGAAACAATGTTACCGCTACAACGACAACAAGAACTTGCAAGTATTGTTCTAGAATACACAGGACAACAAGAAATAACTCCAAATCTACTCAATTTATTAGACGAAGAATTAGAAAATGTTCTATCTCAACCCAGCAATCAATCAAAACAACCACCGCATGGCTTAAAGGTATACATTATTGTTCTTGCTTCGATAAAGATAGAAGTTAATAAAATAAATATAAATATTACTCAATATGTGTAATTACAGGTAGTCCAATGGTTCGAAGAAAGGGAAGGCGGTCTTGTAGAATTGGAAAAAATGTGGAGAGAACATTTTTTAACCACGATGAACCCACAGCATTTACCAAATTTGTGGTCAGTACGGCATAACCAAGAACGACTAACCATTCGTCAAAAACAAAATAGAATAGATCCGGAAGATGCCAAAGCGGCAGGATTAATGTATTAAGATTTTATAAACGTACCTGAAAGGACTCGTATAAGAGCGAGTACTTATATCCAAAAGACTATCAAGAAAACAATATATCTCTTGAATATGAATCATTTCATACAAACTTCTAGATATTGTTTAAGTAGGAATAATTTTACTTTTTTAATACCTGCTATATTTAACGATGGTGTATTTTTATGAAAAACACCATGAATTTTTGAGGTATTTGTATATCTATAATTTATTTATATAGATCTCTATTAAAATAATAAGCCTAAAATAGGTTTTCATTGAATAATATGTATGTAACGTGCCAAATAGAATAACCTTTTAGAATTTCTTTAGATACGAATATAATTATTTGTAAGGTCATGTCTTCTACTACGTAACAAACAACAAACAACTCGTACTGTTTATCTATTTCAAACAAAATCACAGAGTTAAAAGTATTTATTAATAGTATTATATAGCATATTATACACAAATTCCTATAATTCGACGAGAGAATTTATATTTATTATTAGGTAAGTATATATGTACTAGAAAGATTTGGAAGCTTCTTGTTTAGTCGAATTATTATTCGAAAGTGGCGGTTGATATTTCATTTCCTCGTCAATACGTTCTTTTGCTCTTACGACCTTAGATTGCAAATAGAATGAGCCACCTTTAGATCTGTCGTTTGCTTCCATTAAATATTTATATTTTTGTTTGATTAGTTCGGTTTGATCGGGTCGTTCGACATTAAGAATACGCAAAGCCTCGTCCAAAGTCATGCCAGTACGAAGGTTAGACGCTGCATGTCGTGCACCTTTTTCACCTCCGCCAGCTTGTCGTGCAGCCTCCTTACTTGCTGCTAATTCTTGACGTATTGCTCTTGCAAAAGCTCTACCAATAACTTGCGATCCAGTAATAATAATTTGTATTAAATATTTTGCCATCGCTTCGCCGCATTCAACTAAACATTATACGAACTTAATCCAACGATTCAAACCATTTCCGTTTGAATTTAATGGCGCTACTCGCGTATTGCGAGCACACGTGTTTTTAGTAACTTGGAACTTATTTTTCACTAGGAAAATTTGTAAAAGGAACAACATTCAAATGATTTTTCGATATTTCTTTGGAAAGAAATGTCTATTTCATTTGTAATTAATATCTTCTCCTATTAAAACTCAAATGTATACATGTATATACATTCGATATCTATCACATATTTAAAATGATCGAAACAGAGGAAACAGTTGAATGTCTTGTTAACATTATTCTATGTATACATATATATGACGAAGTTGAAAGAATACAAATTGTAGAATTAAACAAATAAATTAACCGTAATGAGTAGCCGATTGAAGATAAAATAATTCATCGGAAATCGAAAACGAAGAAATTAATTTTCGCGCTCTAAGATAAATCGATAAAATGTTAAGTGTATCGACTTGGGTATTATCGATAGTAAGCTTATTTCGATTATCGATAGATTATCGAAATCTAACGTTATCCTTCACTCTAGATACTTGGTATATTATTTGCGCGTTGAATTTTCAAGTTCCTTAACCTTTCGAATTAATAATGATAATCGTTAAACAATATTAGCCTAATCATTATTAACCAATAGAGATTCTAAATACTCAATTTTTTGTCGCACAAATATAATAATAAGATTAGAAAAGTGTGAGTATATTTAAGTGTTCACCTAGCTGATAGCTTCTCTTTTATGTCAACATAATTGACTGCCGACTGGATACGCGTCCTATTTTGAGATCTAATTTGTTCAATACTTTATACGATTAAATAACCATGTAAGATTCTTTATTAAAATCTAATATAATAGTAGACGTATTACCTTATCATAAAATGATCACACATGTCATGTAGTGTGTTTATTATTCCTTTATTGTAATAGAATTACAAGTGTGTGATCGAATTTTTATGTACAAAATTTAATTATATAAAACTTCTTATAATTAGTATGATCGTTTGTTTGATTATAATATTATAAAAACTAATTCTGTACTTACATAAAAAAATGAACACAATAGTTTATGATGATTTGGTAATAATATCTCTCTCTCTCTCTCTCTCTCTCTCTCTTTCTCCCTCTCTCTCTCTCTTTGTGTGTGTGTGTTGTGGCAGAAAGAGAAAGAGAGAGAGTATGTATAATCTCTCTTTAGATTTGAAATATTTATTGAAATATTCTTTTTAGGCTATTTGCAAGTAAATATTCTTTATATCAACTAAATCTTTGGATATGCAAAAATGCCTGGTTGTGCAGCAGTTGGCTGCAATAATCGCAGTGAAAAAGGCTATATTATGAAATGTTTTCCTCGTGATCCAGAATTAAGAAAAATTTGGCAAGAACGTGTAGCTAGAGCCGATTGGGAGCCATCAAATAATTCTTTTCTTTGTCACGTACACTTTGAACCTCATGAATGGTCTTTGGCACAAAGTGGTAGGATTAGATTAAAAAGAAACGCTATACCGTCTATTTTTACTGTAACCTCTACTAGAAAATCTCCTAAAAAGCGACAGAAATTAATTCATACCAAAAAGGAGAACGACTGTGAAGATAGTCAAACTATGGAATATTTTGAGATTGATACCGAATGTTCCTCCACTGGGAACCTTGAAGGAAAAGATTCTGATTTCCATGATACCGATGAAATTTCTCAGTCATTGACATTTGAAACTTCTGATAATATATATCAAGTAAAGAAAGTAAGGAATACTTATAATGATAATGTACAAGATCATGTATCAGATCATGTAGCTACAAATAGCGCTCAAGATGGTATCATTGTAATCTCCGATGAATGCAATATAGAAACAGATCATTTTATAAAGAAAAACAATACCGCAATGCACACTAATGAAAGCGATAAAATGAGTAGTAATATTAACGGCGATCAGGATCCTACATTAAACAATCCTGAAAATTTATACATTAAAGCAGAAGTTAAATCTGAAAATATAAGTAGCAAATTTGAAGATAACTATGACGATATAGAAGAAAAATTGAAACAAATTTGTGATGAAAGGAGCGCAAACGAGGAAGATTATTCAGGAAATAACAGAACCAATTGTACAGCCAAAAAACAAGATGATACAGAAAGAAATGCGGAAGTAAGTTTAAGAACGGATTACAAAGAACCTGTCAAGCATGAAATAGGAGATATTCTTATTGATAACAGGGAAAATGTTGAAATCATTTTTGGTACTGAAAGTGGGGACGAGAAAGTCGATACTTCTCAATCCATTTTGTGCATTAGTAATTCATTCACTAAGGCTAATGAAATTACTGATCCTGTGTTAAATATGGACGATATTGTTTGCATCAAAGAAGAAAATAAAGTCTTTAATGAAGATATAGAGGAAAATTTTGGTAAAGACGAAGTACATGTTATACCAAATATGAGAGCAGCTATGAAACGTAAAAGAAGAACTAGAGAAGAAATAATGAAATCAATTAAAAAGTCCATTGGTAGTACATCTGAGCAAGATATAAGTTTTATACACAATAGCGATATTTCAGATAACAATACAGATAAACAAGTTGAATTCGATGTGAAAACTAATAACAAAAGTAATATTAAAAATAACAATAATCATGCAGAAATAGGAAAAACAGAATTTACAATAAAAGTAACTGGTAATCCTGATGATGTATGTGATGTTATCCAAGAACTAACGGGGCAAGATAATGCAAAACAGAATTTTCAAGAAATTCATAATTCTTGTGAGAAGCTTAATCATAAATCTGTAATTACATCTGTTATCAAATTGAAGGATTATCCTATAAATTTATCTAATGTTGCAAAAGAATCATGTAATAATCACGAAGATTTTTCAATAAAAAATAAAGATTTCTTTCTACGAAGAAACCCTTTATACCTTAATAATACCGAAACAGTAAATAGAGAACATTTGAAAATAGAAGCGGTTGGCGATATTCAACAAAGGAATATTTTCACTAACTCTACGCCACGTTCTATATTAGAGAAAAAAATGTTAAATTTATACAATAGTTCTCCAACAAATTATAGTAATAATAAAATAGAACAAATATTGGGTAATTTAACTGCTCATGACACATTTTACGAACACGAACAGTTACAACAAAGATCGAAAATGCAAGAAGAAGTTATTCAAAAATTAACCAATCAACTAATTGTATTTAAAAGAATGGAAACTAATCTAAGAAAGCAAAGTACATTACTACAAACCAAGACGAAAGAAGTTGAGATGTTAACAAGTAAATTAAACACAAAAGCAACATCTACACAGTCATTAATGAATAATAAAAGAAGTCTAGAATCGAAGCAAAGATTAATCGAAGAATTGTCAAGTAGAGTGAACTATTTTGAGGTGGTAAATAAGAAATTAATGAAAACTATGACATTAGAATCTCAACAAAGAAGGAAATTAGAAGGAAACATCAAACAAAAGGAAGATCAAATAAAAGAATTGAATTGGAAGTTAGAGAAAGCTTCGAAATATCTTGAAAGGGCAGAAAAAAATACAAACACTTATAAACGAAAGATGTTAAATATGCAGACGGTTATGAGACGAAAAAAATTATTAGATGAAAAAATGAGTTGGTTTAATGAACTGCTAATTGATAACAGTAAAGGAGAATTTTCGGAAAAAATTTTGACAACCGCTGTAGCAATTAGGAATGATTGCGGAAAGGATGGTTATATTAAATTAATCGACTTTGGTTTCCCCTTACCGCCCTTAACAGCTCTGAAAAGATTTCTTAGTAATAATGTGACAAAAGAGCAAAGCAATAACGAAAAACATCGAGATATTTTGAATAAGAAAGAACAATTAAAAGATGTACAATGCTTAAGGAACGAAATGGAAATAGATACTAAAGATTCTGGTATACCAGAATCGGATAATAAAGCAACAGAATTAAATACTACAGAAACAATAACTGGGACTGTACAAGATATTTTTAATGAAAATAACGATGGTGATGATTTTACTTCTCATGAACTTAAGAAGCATTTTATGGAAGAATTAAGTGCTGTCATGTAGCCACATATATATACATATATATTTATGTATATATATGTATAATATTCAATCAATCATTTTCTCTTTTTTTTTATCTCGTTGCAGATATATAGATGTATGTTAATATAGGTTTTAATATTTGAACAGAGTTTTGTTCCTTGTCATTGTAAAATAATCATTAAGCATTTGTGATTATTATTTATTGTAAAATGCGATCATGAGAATAATTTTAGATGTAAATAATGTGTACAAACAGTCTAAAATTTACATGTTATGTCACCTGTATGATAAATATGCATTTTATTAGCGAATCTTAGTTAATTAAATTGATATTCTCAAATATCATCCATTGTATGTTAGTCATATCCCTTGTATGAAACGCGCAAGTAATTATCGTCAACTGGTATGGACATTTAATATATTAAAGTAAACTTTCAACTATAGATGTGGTTTTTTAATCAAAAATTAAACAAAAACGTTCTTTTCTTTATGTAGACAAAAGTTATTGTACTCCGAAAATACAAACTATCAAAAAACACAATGTTTAATGTAATTCTTATGGGATTTGTAATTTCTTTTTAGTACAATAATAATATAGTTATAATGCTGTATCAGATTTACCTCTGTTTTTATTATTATTAATATTATTATTATTAATATTATTATTATCGTTGTTAATATTATTACCAATTATTTTCTTTTTCTCTTTTGGCTTAGTATCTTTAGAAACACTAGTTTTATCACATTCACACCAAGGTGTACTAGACTTATCACACATCAAGGAAATATTGAGCACTGTCAATGGTGTGCCTGCAATAGTCATTTTAATTCTACTTATTATTTTATACGAGATATTATTTAAACCAGTTTCTCTATCCCGTTTTCTAGTAACTTCCCGCTGATTATAACACTTTATCATATCACGCTTCCTATGATTTCTATCGTGAATATGCCTGAAATAATGACAGAATATCATTTATTCGTGAAATCTATTAATTCATTTAATACATACCAATGAGCATGTACCGAATGTATATTTATCATTGTTAATATAATATTGAAACATACTTGAACGTATTATGCGTTCCTGTAGAAATATTTTGAGGCCGAGTAATAGTTAAACCAGCTTCTTTCAACCTAACGTAAAACTCATCATCCTCTAGACCCCAACCCCAGTATTTATTAGACATACCATTAACTTGCCTGAAATGCTCTCTACAAAAAATTATAAATTTCTTTTAAATTTATATTGCGTATGTCAACAATTATATTATTAATATTATTCAAATATAATTACCTTTTAATAAGTAATATACCACCAACAAATGTGGAATAATGATACCGAGGATGCAAATCCGGTGATGATATATGGTAAGGACCTTTATTGGGATATACGTATAATAATTCGTCATTTAATGGCAATAAATCAACGTCGTGCATGGCCATATAATGAAAATCTTTACTGGTTTCCAAAAAACCAACATTAATAAGGGAAGCTCGATTAAATCTGTATCTGTCAAACTGTAACATACGAAATGATTTAATTTTAAAATGATTCTTTAACAAAGTTTTCATATTTTAACTTTATTTAAACTATATACCTGATTCAATACAAATATATGATATTCTATATCCTGCTTATATAAAAACTCTTGCATATGCGTCGCAAATGTTAATAATTCATCAAAACGATCTCTGAATGGTACAAGAATAGCTAGCTTGTATTCCGACCGTTCGGTCCTTCTATTAAATTTGGCATTTTGTTTGTGGGCATTATATTGCTTCATTGCAGCATCATTCTCACACTTGCATTCATCTATTATTTTAATGAAATCTATTCATTTCTTCTTTTCGCATTGAATACGTATTTTATGCTAAATATTATCAATAAGTTATATACTTACCAATATTGATCGGAACAATACTTATCAAACAGGACATAACAAAGGTAACGAAGATACAAATAATAATGTATTTGAATTTAAAGTTCCTCCATACAGTTTCCATAATAAGTCAGATAATTGTTAACTTCATTTATTAACGAAATATTTATTCCTTAATCCACTACAATAGGTTAAACGTACATTGACACATTTTCTCTTCCTTCGATTAATCAATATTTCATTCATTGAATCATAAAATTTCAAATATTTTGTAAAATATGCTCACACTTTTGTTATCCATCGAATTCTTTTATCATCAAATCAATTCCATTTTTGGAGTTAAAGTTTAATGCGTATTTCTTCATGAAAATAATATCTGAAAATATATACGTCTACTTCTCTATTTTACATTTTCCTTTCTGAAGCATTTTGATCGTCTGGCAAGTCAAATTGTTACATAAATTAATTTTGTTGACGTACGTCAACAATGTTGTTTTAACGAGTATTGTTTATGTTTAATGTGAGTTTCTTGATTTACACCATACGTATAATCGTTCTTTGTCCTTTCTGTAATCAGTTGATTCATTATTACTGCAGAGCAATGGACGTTTTAATAAATGAAAATCATTCCCGCCGTTTTGTCGAAACTTTACAATGACAAAAACACACCGACTTAATGGCCACGGCCATATTGCATGTCACAGTGCCAGATAATCTTACCTAAACAATCTATCTATACCTAGATAACCAACCTCACTTAGTATATACAAAATAACAAATTCTACAATTTGGAATAATTCCTTTAATTTTTCATGCATTACATATTTCCTAAGAGGATATCTATTCTAAGAAACATTGACGAAATGCGATCTTATTTTTCAATAATCAATATTTTGTAAAAATCGATCTGTTTCCATCGATTTATCTCGACTATTTATGATTGGCGTAATCACGATGTTTATTCTTTTAAAATATAGAATTTTTTCTCTCATAATTAGTGTAACATCGCATAACATCAATGTCCAATTGTTTTAATTTTTATCCGCACATGCAATACAGTTAAATACATCGTATGTATACAAACTCTTGACTCTACTTGATTAGATTAGTGGGATATTTCTACACCATCACCTAACAAGTATTTATTTCCAAACATTTTTATGTTTAATGCAACCAAAGTTAATATCTAAACACATACATAACCCTTCTACTAAATTCTTCAAAATTTGTTCTTTTTTTTATCAAAAAATTACAAATTATCTAATATTTCATTGTTTTACTTTTTTTCATTTTCCGTAGCCTCTGTTCTAAGTGATTTAATCGGCGAATACAATGGATCTTGCAGACACAGAAAGTTCCAGTGATTCGGACGATTTTCAAATGTTGGGTACATTATTTTTGAGAAAATCTTTACTATTAATAATTTATATTTTTCTACATATATGTGTGTATAAACATATACTTGGTTTTGGTTATTAATGGCATTTCCAAATTCACAGAAAGATAATGCTTTAGTAATGTATTCTTAACTTTTCTTTTTATCGTTTTCCTTATTTTAATTGGTGTCATTGAAATGGAAAATAATGATAGATGTATTTTGTATAATAACTTTTAGATCATAAATTTATTCATGTTTTGCAATTTCTTCATCCAGAAAACCATGGAACCGAAGAAGCAACAATACCGTCAGAGAGTACTTTTGACTTGGCCCTTCCAATCTTGCACTCTGTAAGTTATTTCCCTTTTTCTTTTTTTCGTTTCAACATTATTATTTCAAACATTATATTATTATTTGTATGTTAATAGTACTTAGGAAATAATCTAAAAGAACTCAGAGGGAGAACGTTACTGGATGATGGAATTCACAGGAATTTACCATTATTAGTGAAGCATTCTATTATTTTATTTCCTGGACAGACATTACCAATGAAATCAGAGAATATAGAAGTTATTAGAATGCTACAAAATTGCATTCAAAAAGATCGCATATTTGGTGTCATATGTTTGAACAATGGCAAGGTGGTACGCGTAGGTACAACGGCTGAAGTATATGAATATTATGATGGAGATTTAATGGTATCAAGTTTTCGATTAAAAGCGAAGGGTAGACAGCGATTTAAAATATTAAGCATTATCATGAAGGTTTGTTAAATTATATTAAGAATAATATTTAATCGTAAGAGAAGATTGTATTGAAATATATTGATATGTATGTACATATATGCATTAGGGCAACGACATGTTTTCCGCAAACGTTAAAATATTACCAGAAGTTATTTTGAATCATCCATTCTCGGATTGTCGTTTAACTTCGTTAAACCCTTTTCGAATACAACCGACTAATGAAAAAGAATCGAAACAGCAAGATTTTGTAGAGAGAGTAGAGTCTGTTATAACTCCATGGCCGTCATGGGTATACAAACAGTATGATCCTGTGAGATTGTCTTCCAAGATACGCCATCATTTACAATTTCTTCAACAACGTTAGTATTTTTACTTTAGCAACAGGTTACAATTATTTGTTAATTCTCTTCTTAAGTCAAACGTTCTAATGCTATATGTATTAATACTTTTGTAGGAGGTAGTAACATACCTAAGGATCCAATTGAATTATCATTTTGGGTCGCACAAAATGTATTGGTTGATGACGATGAAAGAATTGATTTATTAAATTATGATTGTGCTATTGCAAGGTTACAGAAAGAAATCAAATATCTTATTGAGGTAATATAATTAAATTTGTATATCAAAATGGATGGATAGAAAATATGCTCATACGAACTATTATACGAAAAAGAAGTTATATTTTTCAGGATAGATCTTTTGTTTGTGTACATTGCGATAATTTCATTGCTCATCAATCGAATATGTTTCCAATGAGTAAGGAAGGACTTCAAAGTACATATTGTAATGGCTATGGTGTCATATTTGAAACAATAACTGTCTATCATGCGGAAGGATTATTGCTTAGTATGGATTCATCCTCAACAGTTTATAGTTGGTTTCCAGGGTGAGGAGATTAATATATATAAACATGATTCTTTTTTTCTCAAAGAGATTATGAAATTATTTAAATAATTTATTTATTTCTATAGATATGCTTGGACAACAGCAAGTTGCGGTAACTGTTCTTCTCATGTGGGTTGGAAATTTACAGCGGTAAAAACTAACTTGAAACCTAAAGGCTTTTGGGGTTTATGTCGTAGGGCACTGAAAAATAAAACAAATAAAAAAGTAGATGATACAATAGATATTGACACTTTGCCTGATGATAATTGAGAGAATTGTTTATATTTCGTACAAATCGTTGATGCTATAGCCGGATTGTTGTCATTGCAGTTAAATTTATTACTTAGTTGGATTAAAATATCTTCTAATGAAATATAGTAAGAACCATTAAGAACGTGTGGTAAAAAATAGAATGCACTTTGACAGAATAATATTAACAAAAATTTGTCTCTGGGCAAAAGTACATATACGCGTCATCCTTAGTACAGACTTATGGTAATAGAATGTACATATTGCATGGAGAAAAACTGAAGTAAATCATAGCTTTACCATTATCCCCCTGGTTCAGATTAACCGTTATGTATATGAAAAGTAATATCATTATACTTTTCATAATCAATATATAGATTACGAATTATTATACTCTTTTCTCATTGCTACTTTACAAATAGATACAAGATTGTATAATACCATGTTATTTCCTAAATATACAAAATTCTGTGCATATAAAATAATGGATAGCGATATTATACCATATAAAATAAGATATTTTGTTATGCATATTAATAACATATTAATAAATTTAAATGTAATGTCATAGTATTACGTATAGTTTTTCATTTATAATTGAAATACACTTTACATGTAAAAAATGTAATATTTATATTTTCACTACATTTAATGTGGATGAATTTTGTGCTAAGCTTATTTTTTAACTTATTTTGTGTAACTTATTTTGAGTATGTATATACATATAGTACTTTATATACAAGTTAAAAATGACTATATATAGATAGTCAGTAGTAGTGTGTATATATATACATAAATAAAAAATAATAAGAAAATCAATGAGCACAATACATGATATGGATTATAAAGGAGCAGAAGGATATAGAAAATTGAATATCATGTTTGTAATCATTTTTTGCGCATATCGTATATTTCTTGATTACCTTAAATCAGTTAATTTTATAATAATCATATGTTCATTATTTCAATCATTCTCTTGTATATGTATCGTGTTGTTATTCACGTTAAGGCAGCAGATATTTAAAATAATCTGCCGTTAAAGTAAATCGTTCAACATAGCAATTTGTATTGTATTACTATCGGTCAGATACTCCAGATATCGAGTTTGTATTTATACACCTGTGATCTGAGATATGGCCCTTTTATATTAATTTTTGTTGACAGTCGCACAGCAGTTTTCTATATATTCCGTATGCGTTAATTTTGCTCTCATTCTTCAAGATAATGTTATTACTGCATTTTTTCTTTTATATGACTTTGTATATATGCGATTATAAATTAAATTTACATTGATTATAAATCCAGTATCATTTGTAACTAAGCTGATAGACCTGACGTTTAATTAAATATTAAGGTAATGCCTTTCCTATTATTCAATCAGTAAGTAATAAATTACTATTGGCTCATATCAATGTTTATATGTCTCCATTATTTAATTAAAGATCTAAGCAGTAGTAAAAATAAATCGTACAAGATTTTATTAATATTTCAAATCTGTTCAACTTTCATTTTAATAAGCTTCAGTTAATAAGAACCAAAGTTTCTCCAAAAATAATTTCATGATTTTATAATAAGATTTAATTAAAATGTAATGATGTTGGTGAAAATTGTAATATACTTTAAAAAAAAAATTAGAATGAATTAGTTTAATTATTAAATTACTTATGGTTTGTTTCATAAGTGTATTTAAGATTTGACATATGATAATAGAGAATTAATATTAAAAATTTTATATGTATTAAATTTGTTACTAATATCAGAAAAAATAAATAATATTCATATCAAGAGTTTTTCATATTATTCAACAAAATGATGAATTCAACTATTTTTTGTTTCCCATAGGAAATGCTCATACAGCAAGATCGCAGCAACTATACAATTAGCTGAAGGCAAATATAAACACATTTTAAAGAAAACATACGTTACAGACTGTCCTTATAATTTCTTTTCTGGCTTTCATTTCATCGGATACGAATATTTCACCATGTCATTTGTAGACTTGGTGTGTTCGTAATCTTTATAAATCTGTAATATAAATATATATGTTCATATGATTTCTCTTAAACATATATTTCACGAAGAAGAATTTAACCTACTCTCAATCTCTGATGTCGTAGAGATTAGTTTGGTGTGCGGCTGTGCAGCTGTGTTCGCTTGTTGATTATTTATTTGCCCTGTAGTTGCAGGCGAACCAAAACCCGGCGGTGGTTGCATTGCCCAATGCTGAGCTGGTGCATTCTGTTCCTATTACATAAAATTAATCGTAAGATTTAGCGACATGCTCATTAAATACTACACATCGCAATATATAGAATTGACAATAATTCATTTCATATATGTATTTTATTTATAGCTGGGTAACCTGTTGCGCATTGTGAGATACTGTGTGAGAAGGATGTACATGTGGAAATTGCCATGTGCTAGTAGTTTGGAATGAAAGAGGCCTAGATGAACTAACGATAGCTGGATCAATTGAAGTCCAATCTGCGATAGGCCCAAAGTTGTTCCATCCCCCTTTTTGATGCAATGCTTGATGATGAAATTGCTGTTGTTGTTGTTGGCTACTTATCTCACACCAATCTTTTAATGTGTAAATAGTATCGCCTGCGCATTTACCGATACCTACTCCAATAACAATAGGAATATTTCAATAAAATGTATGAAAGGATTAAATACTTTGATAAAAATTAAAGAAAAATTTACCTTGCGTATTGAGTAGAGGATTTCCATTTGGAAGATACGCACTTTGTTGCGATGGTTGTGTTCCTGCAAATAACATACCAGATGAATCATTTATGAATAGAATTTGATTACAATTTTCAGATAAATATGTGTACACAATAAAAGCCAATTTTCAATGAAATTTCATCGATAAAACAATATTTATCGTGTTTCAATATTTAATTCAATATGTTCCATGTATTTCACAAAAGAGAAGAAGTTTAACATAGTTCAAATTGATTAATTGCTCGTGATCTTGGAAGTGCTTATCTTGAAAATGTTCAATCTGACAATAAGATTATATACTAATATTCTACAACTGAACAATTGAATAATTAATTCCTTGCTATGTATACATTTTTAATTTTTTTTCCTTGTTTCTTTTTATCGCTACGCTTACCATTAAACTTACAAAATGTATTATTTATTTTATGAAGACATTATGTATTCATAGGTATGTAAATTCACGCACTGTGGGCTATGATTCCAGATGTTGGAAAAATTGGAGAAACACTAACCCGTGAGGGCATTGTTTGTAGGGGCAGGCCGCGGTATACCAAGACCAAAAGAGTTCATGTGATTTGGGGTTGCACCAGGAAAACCTGGCGGAGGGAGGCGACTGCGTTGTGCCAGACTAGCAGCTGTTACGGAATTCTGAGCAGGACTCTGTGTACCGCTTTGAAGAAGATTCTGCGGAAGACGAGACAGGAGGGAATGCGATTGTTGAAGAACTTGCAAATTTTGCAAGTGTTGCGCTTGTTGTTGCAGATGTGCTATATGTGCAACCTGAAATGATAATTACCCATTTTTATCAACTTGAAATATATTCTATGCAAATATATACAAGGTGTAACAGAATAACTGGGAAATCTTATATTCGCTATAACTCTTTATATGAATTTTTTGTTTTGTTGATGTGCTAAAGCCATCATATTTTCCACTTATTCCGTTACATCCTTGTGAGTACTTTTGTTACCTGTGGAAAGTGCTGCTGACCAATATTCGCAAGACTTTGTTGATGTTGTACCCTACTTTGCTCTTCTCGTTCTCTTTGTTGCTGCTGCTGCTGTTGCTGTTGTTGTTGTTGAAATATTCTTTGTTGTTGTAACTGCATTTCGTTTTCCATTAATTCCGCAAGAGCCTTTTGCGTTTCGTGAAAGGGATCGAAACCTAAATCATCGTCAGCTTTTACATCAGATCCAGATTCATGATGATTTTGAACTTCTTTTAAAGTTGCATGTCCGTTTTGCTTGATATATTCACAATTTTCTTGATTCTGTTGTGCCTTAGAAATATTCAATGTAGAGTTAGTTACCTGCTTAATATACCTGATGAAATATTAAAAATATTATACGATCTAATTCACTAACTTGCATAGCAAGCCTTTGTTGTAATGAATTTTGCTGAAAGTCTGCCATAAACTTAGATGCAGGTGAGTTAACAAGCAAATTTGTTTGAAAGTTGATCGAAGATTCAGAAATCGCGTTATACTGCGAATTATTATATGCTTCTTCTTCGGCAAAATCTTCAGAGTTGAAAGTTACTCGCGGTGAATTAGAAGGACTAATTTTTCGTACAATATGATTTGATCGCGTTGATTCCGGATGAAAACCGAATGCTGCTTGCCAATCTTCGCTCGAGTGAACTGCGGGTAAAGAATCGGGTATGGAAGCCAAGCCTGTACTCGTCCAATCCAAATTTGTATTTCCTATATGAACAACAAGAAAAAATACATTTCATTTTAAGATAAATCATAGAAAGGAAATAAAGTTTAATTTTAGATAATCATGTATGACACCTGTATTGAAAGAGTTCAATGTACGTGCCTGCTAAGGAATTGGATGTGACAGAGGCGGCTGTAGATATTTTTTGGAAGGTATTTGTACTGAAGAAACTATTATTGTCCGCCTGAAAGATTGACCGATGATTAAGTTGCATTTGAGACCCATTATGCAGCCCAGGTGGTGGCTGTTGATTGGCACCTTGCGATGAATTTGTGCTAGCAGGTGATGAACCTAGACACGATACGCACATAGCGCTACACTACGAGACGCGATCAAGATGTCATTTATTTACTGATTATCAGAATGCCAGAATAAACAGCCTCTAATAATCTTTTAGTCACCAAAATTAAAATATACATACACGTACCCAGAAATTAGTATAGAATCTCTTAGAATAATACCTACCGCTCTGTCATTAATTTTTCGTTACGAGTGTTGAAATATTCACATGTATTTCATACAATTTGTATTATTTGTTTCATTTATCCAAATGGAGAAGGGACAGAGATAAACATTCTTCTGGGCAAGTGTTGCAGAATTTAATGTTTCTTATGAAATTTTGTAAAAAGGATTAAGTTAAGTGTATACAAAAATACAACAAACAGCTACTTCTTGTTTTCAAGAATTCTCTTTATTTTGGCATATATCAATATCTATATTAGTTCAAGATTCACAATCTGAATTCTTTGCAACTCATTATAAATATTTCGTCTATTCTCGCATGATTACTTATATGAATTGTATTGTGTTTTCTTATAACAATGTATTAACTTTTGATAATTACATGATGAGAAAAGCTATGTATCATAATACTTATAGAGATGTCCAATTTTAAGGACTATAAAATTATTATTATTTTTTTTTTTTTTATTAATTCTTTTTGTTTTTATACGCAAAGGTTTATAAATATTATAACAGATGAGAAAATATATGAGATAATCTACAAACATGCAATTTTTAAAACATTTATAACAAAACTATTAGCACTATCTTCATTTTAAATATATTTTATATAAATTTCCTATGTGACTGTCATTAATGGCAAAGCATCATATCTTATTATTGTAATTTTTGGGGATGACTTTAATGTTACATCGTATAACTCTCTATTACTATTTAAAATAATATATTTTTAAAATCAAAGATTAAAGCCTGACTGTAATTATATATCTTAGATTTACCTGTGCACACGTACATTCACTTTCATCAATTCAGTGTAAAAGTAGATGGTCGATACATAAAGAAATGACGACGAGTATAAGGAACTCACCTAAAATTGCAGCACCATTGTTTTCCTCACTCGATTCCACTAATTGTTCCACTTGATGATTTACATTAGACTCTTCTGAACTTGAAATTGTACTAGCTGGTGTGCTACCTTCTCGTTGTTGATCCGTTTCACTATCCGAATGTCGTCGCTCCCCATTTTGAACTATACCATTTATTTTAAGTTCATTAGATGGTTGTTGTGCCGGTTTAGAAATTTTGTTAGATTGCTGTTGCTGGTGTTGTTGCTGCTGTTGCTGTTGTTGTTGTTGTTGTTGTTGTTGTTGTTCAACCTTACACTTATTGCCTAACTTTTGCAATACATCACTATTCGTTTCGGCTGAAAAATTTCTTATATCCTTCTGACCATTCACTTGTGGTTGCACATTATTTTGTACACTAATCGAGCTTGATTCAGAACGTGACGTTGTTCGAGTACTATGTTTCTCTTTATTTTGACAATTTTTATGTTTATTTCGCGCTGCTTGTGCCTTACTTTCACTATTACTTTTGCCTCTGCGTAGACCCATACCATTTTCCCCTTTATTATTGTTATTTTGTTGATGCATAGAACCTCCGGATGATATATGCGTTTGTTGGGTGGTAAGACTGCTACCATTAATTATGCTATGTTGCTGTGAAGTTGTTTGGGTAGGTGGTGATGATTCTTTACAAGTCATTTGTGTGTCTGTAAAGTGTAAATATATATGTGAATTTAAATTGCAATTTTAAATAATAAATATATTCTCTATAAACGCGTTTTAAATATGTTAATATTATATATTATATTTATAATGTATCTATTATAGAAAATTCTTACTATTTGTTTGTCCTGGTTGTAACGAAGGCCATGCTTCCTTGGCTTGTGAATTTGTAGTTCCATTTTCACGACTAATACTACTTGTAACAGGTGGCGATGGTGTTGGTTTTCTGTATAATTAAAACGTTAAATTTTAATTTTACTATATATACTTTAAATCTGTTTATCATTAAGGTAATGAATTAGTATGTTGTTACCGCTGCAATGCTGATGCATGAGCATGTAAAGACTGAACGAGTTTGCGCTCATATTCCTGATGTTTCCCTTGATGCATTTCCTCTTTTGTAAAAGAAGCCTCCTGGTCCCCGAGATCGTGTAAATACATACAGTCTGGTTTAGGACACACCTGATTACGCATAAAATGTGAACAGTATTTTGTTGTACCCAATGACGTTTTTATTGTCCGTCCGTCCACAACGATATTATTCACAGCCTCTATAGCACGCAAAGCATCTTCCTGACGCTATTTTTAGATTCATTAAAGGTCAGGTTTTAATAAGTTCTTAATATACAATATATTGTAATTATAATAAATACGAAGAATGCAACATACTTGGTAGGTGACATATGCCGAAGCGCTAGGGCCCTGAGACCCTGCGTAAGAAGTGCTCTGATTGATCACAACTTTATGAATCTTACCAAACTTCCCAAAATACTCGTGCCTCTTTAATACCTACAGTAAATATATTGTTATTATCTTTTATTACGTCCATATTAATTAGATATAATCATCTATTTTTTACAATAAAATAACTTACATCCGCGTCCGCCAATCGCATTGGTAATCCTACTACGAATACTAAATTTTTTTGAACTACTCTCACATTTGCTAGATGTTTACGATTTTCAGTAACTCTTTGTTTACGCTGCTGATCCTTCAATCTCTTTTCTGCTTTTAACCTAGAAAAAAAAAAAATCATTTAAATAGCCTCATGTACGCAGATATGGCTATACAATAAAAGAAAAACTCTACCTTGCAATTTCTTCCTTAGTAAGAGGCTTAAAATCAGCGGGGTTTTCGGAGTAGGCCTTCCGGCACGCGGGGCATAAGCCATTTTCATCCGTACGTATTCTATGCCAACAAAATCTGCATATTTGGTAGCCGCACGTACACGGAAAGAAGTTTAAATCGTCAACCTCCAATGGTTCCATGCACAACGGACACTCTACAGCATCCTCTCCGCTCTGATTCAATACTGACATAATTTTTGCTATAACCACGTTCGTCCAAAAAACAACAATTAACAATGTATTTCTTCTTATTTCGGACCTATACAAAGAACGATATTATGAATTAATAATACGATATTCAATTAAAAAATATTATCCACATATTTATAATAGAAACGATATATAAACTTATGCCTATTTTCTATATAATTTAGCGTAAATTAAATGAAAGATATTTCATCGTACTAAATAAGATGTTGAAATATGGTTTGAATTAAAAATGCACCTTCGGTATCTCTCTTCGAATAATGCACATACACAAAGAGTTTCCACAATAGAGATATTAAATAAGCTTCCTACTTTCCTTTATGTTCTACTATCCTTGCACAATCTGAAAAAAAAATGATGACACGTCAGATTAACCTCGTAGAAAATTGACGAAGACGGATAAGGTCGCGAAAAGGCGAGTGCCGTGGAAAGTGTTGGCGTATCTCAGGAAAAAAAAGCTTCCCTCTACTACGTCAACCGTATGGGATTATTTGAATAGCGAAATAACGAACGTTTTAAACGACTTATCGTTTGATTCCGATTTTCGGATAATTTTTGTTAAATTGAATAAAAATAAAACGCACTGCATAGTGCAAGTCCGACTGGGTAGATTTAGAAAAATAACTTAGGTAGATGTGAAAATCGAAAAGTATATCCTTCCGATTTAGCGATGGTGTAAGATAAAATGTAAAAGAGGTGTCGTTCCTGAAGCGCCAGAAACAAAAAATCGAAAAGTTCGTCTCCGTTTGACAGGAGTTGTCACAGACGAGCGTTGAAGAGAACAAAGGACGCTCAACAGATTATGGGAGAGGCTAGAACAGAGTACTTTGACGTAAATCCTATCGTCGACGAGCTCGATATCGACGATCGAGATGATCGTTAGTGACGTAGTAGTAGTTGAACTAGTCTAAAAGACGTGTAGAAAGACTTTCCTTCCTTCTTGCTTGCTTGCCTGCCTGCCTGCCTATCTGTCTGCTTGCCTGTCTTCCTTCCTTTCTTTCTTTCTCTATCATCTCGATATTTCTATCTTTTTCTTTCTTTCTTTCTTTTTTTTTTAGCGTAATAGTTTGGGAGATACAAACCGTAGGAGAGGGCGACAATCGAACGAAACAGCTGTTGGTGGCGTTGAGAAGAAACGACGAAACGTCATTAGCGTGCGAGTGAGAGGTACTACGCCATCATAGTTACGGATTTGCCTGAAAATCCGTCTAAATCTCTAGTGGTGGGGCATGACACGTTAATTTCGCGAAACCTCCTTTGCAAGAATTCTCGCATACGCAAGGACGCGACGTTCTCTAATGTTTCGCGACGTAGACTTTCAGGGGAAAAAAGGACAAGTCCAAAGAAAAGAGAGACCAAACGAACAGAAGAAAGGGGGCGCTGAGGGACGTCGAGGAAGCACCACCAGAGTGGGAGCTGGGAAATAGGAGGAAGGGGAAATGGACGTAGAAATAGAGAAAAAAAGGACATTCGCTGCTATAGCTTGCTATCCCTTTCTAACTTATAATCGTGACATGTCCCTCTACCCCTCTGCGTCACTCTGACACTCTCTCTCTCTCTCTCGATGTAATGAGTGGGAAAGAGAAAGAGACTTTTATGTCGATTAACTCTCTCTCTCTCTCTCTCTCGATGTTATGAGTGGGAGAGAGAAAGAGACTTTTATGTCGATTAAACAGCTTTCCTTGGCACGTTTAACTTAGAAAAAATGTACAAGGATAGGGCTGACATTTGATGTGGGCACCAACTCAAACGATTAGCAAATAAAGTCCGATTCGATAAAGAAAATATTTGTAAGAAAGAAAAGATAGGAAAGAGATTGATGCTCCTCTTATTATTTCCATCTCTTCCTCTTTTTCTTCAAATAAAGACAAATAATAATTGCATAGGTCACAAAAGAGGAATCGTTCGATATTCTAAGATAACCACGAAGGAATAATCGATTTAACCTTAATCTTATTCTTAGAGAGATAATCACTTATATTTTTCAACAGAGCTCGCGCGTCGACGATTATATCGCGTCTTTCCACATACCACTCGCCGATTCTCAATTAATCGCGTATACATTCACTCGTTCGTAGCAATATTTCGCTTTTTCCTTGCTTCTTGTTTACTTACGTTTTTCAACTATAACACTAAGAAATCTTTCTTTTCTCTACTGGAAAATTTGGTTCTAAGCTTCCCGAAATTTGGTCAAACGCGCACCACGATCGCGCAGGAACGGACATTACATGCTACGACTACTAGAGGGATCCCGACCCAAGTGGACGAACCAACAAGGTGGAAGAGAGAGGGGCAGGGACGAGGAAGGGTTGTCAGAGCGCATGTCAAAGAGACGCGGATTTACTCTTTATAAATACGTAAAAGGCATCTTTTTTAGTATTGGTCAATATCGACGCGCCCTTCCATTTGATTATTGACGTTCGCGCAAGTAATATCAATCTTATTTTATTATGTATTTCCTTTAATTCTCTACATTTGTTGCGCGATTATTTCTTATAATATTATATATGATACGTTATATCCTTGTGTTACTTTTTATATTTACCGCTTTGTCTAAAAAGTCATTTAGTTACTAGAGTTAACACATGTCTACCAACCGCATTAACAAGTATCCCTGCATTCCAATCGAAAATGAATTCTCTTTCATGCGTGAAAGAATGTGTTGTAGCATATTAAAAAAGATCGTTTGACAGAATCGTTATATCAGTATCCTTACAAATTATAATTAGATCAAAATTACATAGCAATAAATTGTTGAAAACAATTTATGAATATAAAGCATATAAATGTTTAGGTAATCATTTTATTATTGTTCTCTTCCTTTTACTCGATCCAACCATTTTTGATTCTCTTTTGGGTTTATTCTCAATAGCAACACCTAACAACGGATGTCGCGTTCTCAAATTTTCAGGGAACGGAACCCCTACGTTATCTAACAATATGGGTTTACCTTTTGGTATAATTGATAATTTTCTTCTAATTGTTATAGAGCCTGCTGGTTTTATATTAACTATAAAACATTTAACAATTAGTCTATAATACATATTTAATCGTGTTATTTTCTTACTGCTTAAAATAAAATAAATACCTGCTTTATACGGCGAGTTTGTTTTACTGGTACCAAATACACAAGTAACGTCATGCTGCATGCTTTGTTTAATAGCACAGTATTTTTTTTCTCCTACTCTAAGTTTGGATTTATCTCCCAATGCCAAGTTCTGTCCGATCAATTCTTTAGTATCTACCTGGAAAAATGTTCTAATATAAATGACTTACTGCCAAAAATAAAAATGTAACACATGAAATATACTTACCGTTTTAGGTATATTCAAGATCCAAATATCTTCACTGTCAGATATATCATCAAAATTGAAAGTAGAATTAGTTTCCATAGTTAAATTTTCTTCTTTTATCAAATCTTCAAGCTAAAATATGTCAATTTATTGATATTAAATTATTTTTACTTATAAAGGAGGATCCAAGTTGACAAGACACTATTTTTTTATTAGATTCTACATAGTTATAAGGGTTGTAATGTAATACTTATATACATTTTGTGGTCTCGATGATGATGTAACTGTTAATGCATTTAGACTTGCTTTAGGAACTGCTTCATTTCTGTCAACATTCCTGTTGGGAGTCTCTTCGCTCCATTCTTCTAAATTTTTTTCTTCACTATTTGTACCTTCTGATTTCTTTAAAATACCTTTTCTATGTACACCATTAATAGAAGTGCTTTTTCTGGGCGAACTACTTTTTGTATTTATTTTAATAGATTTGTTGTTTTTATTTAATTGCAGCTGATCATCATTTCCTTTGCTTTCAAATAAAGCCATGGATTTATTCAATTGTGTATTTAATGTTGTAAGAGGATCTTCGTTCTCCCAATCAAACATTTCGACCATTGTAATGATTTAACTGTTCTTTAAACTGGTGGTAATTATAATCTGTGATAATTACATCGAATAAATAATTGTACATAATTTATGATTCAATCAAACGTTGGAATACTTACAATATTCGATTGTTATATTCCAGAGTAGAGAATAAAATGTTTATAATTCTTACATTTCGAATATATACACAAATTTAGGTTAAGTTCCATGTTATGTATGAATTAGAAATTGTTAATCAATATTTTCTATTTGATACATCGATGTTACAATCGATACAATTAGTATGTTAAAATAAATCGATTCAAAATATTTTCTCTAGAGATATTAAATTTTTATCAGATAGATTTCTATTGGTTTTTACCAAATGCAACACAGCCACGCATATTTTTTTCTTCCGAATTGGTAATTGAGGTAAACAAACCACAATATAGATGGCACTCTTGTCAAATTTACTAAAATACATAGATAAAAATTGTAATTATACGTAATGAATATATATATTTAATCTGATAAAGCGCATTCAAAGTATGTACTAAACAAAAGCAAATAAAGTTATTTCACGAGAAGCAATTAAAATCATTTTTAATAAATCGGACAGAAAACGTCATAAGAAACTAATCACCAGTATAATGTCCAATTTTGTTTGCAAACCATTTAATTTTTCAAGATCAGAATTATGGTTTGAATGGATATGTAATTTGGAGCAGTTAATGAAATATTATAATGTGGAATCAGAAGAAGTAAAAATAAATCTCCTTTTTTATAAAATGGGTCCTATAGCGAAAGAACTAATGATGGAATTGAAACCAAATTTTGAAAAAGAAATGTCTTATGAAGAAATAAAAACTGAGTTTACTAAATATTTTAATATTAAGACTCCACACGTCATTGTCGAACGACAAAAATTCAACAGTAGAGTAAAACAACCTAATGAAACAATAGATGCTTTTACAACTGATCTACTTAAATTGGTGGGTAAATGTGAATATGGACTATTGGAAAATTATGTTTTACGAGAACGTATTTTACATTGTGTTGGATACTGTACAACATCAGCATTGATAGATGCTATGAACGATTTTGCTATAGACGAGATTATATCCAAAGAGAAAAAGATTAAGACGTAAGGAAAAGACAGTATTTCTATTTAAAGTAGATTAACTGGAAATAAAATCAAATTGAAACGAAAGTTAATTAGAAATAACATTGTATTATTGTGGACACAAAATGTCAATAATTAATAAGTTTTTAAAATTATAATTTTCATAGATAGCTACTTTATCGTAGTGCATATAAGAACTAACAGAAATAAAAATGTCAAAATTGTTTGTCGACAAAGTAAGACGCACAGACCTGTGGTAAAATAAATCTAATATATAGTTTAATGATACGATTTGTTCAATCCGATTAAATTGATGAACAAATTACGTGTCAAGTTACATAATTCAAAGAAAAGCTTTTGCTTTCGTTGAAATTAAATTCTTATTATTTTTTCATCACAAAATTTGTTTGGATTTAATTTTAAAAAATCTTTTGTTATTTGTATTTTTGTTTAAATCACACAAAAATACTTGTTAAATTATTATAAATTATAAAAAATGTTATTTTATATAAGTATGTTTAACTATTATATGTATATAGTAATTATGAAAAGAATATTGGCTTAATTAAGTTATATATTTACAATTATTTAAATGAATATGTTCATTTATGTTTATATTATATCATGTAGCATTTATACTTATAATATAACGAAATATTATGTCTAATATACAGTACAAAAGTAGAGTACAATTAAGTAATGCATTTTTAGGAAACCATGCTAATGCAATTTTCAACAGCTGTAAATTCTATTGCACAGACAATACAAGTATGAAATGTATTTCTATTAAACATGCAGTATATTTATATTAAATGCGTTAATCGTTATCTAGGTCCTATTTAGCTCGTATTAAATAATTCATTTGTTTCGCTATCAAATATATTATTATGGAAAATGTAATAGCATATTTGATTTAATAACACGCGAACACACGCTTATAGTAATGACAGAAGTAGTGAAAGAACTCACGTAACATTCCTCTGAAATTACATACATATAGGTATTCCTATATTTTTTTCATCAATTTCAACTTATCAATTTTCAGTTTATCTACTAGAACGAAGACATTTTTCATATTGATATAGAAATTACAGTAAATATTACTTTCTATTGCAATTTCTTTGTTTTTTTTTTCTTTTTCTTTTGTTGCGAACTGAATCAAATCATTTTTTTCCTAATAGATTTTCTATAAATATTAATTAAATGAATTATAGATATAAAATATCAATTTGAAAATAAAAAATAAAAAATTTTACCAATGCTGCAATTTATATTATCTGGCTGAAATATCAGTTAAATATAAACCACGTTTATATCACAATAAGCAGAAAGTTATAAAAATTAGCATTTCTTTTATTGTTACCGAATGGTTTGAGACATATGTAATGGTGTAAGCATTAATTCAAAAGTGGCATCTTTCAAATTTGCCCCACGTAAATTGGCTTCTTGCAAATCTGAGCCTGATAAGTCGCAACGCTAAAATGTACATTTAATTATAATAATAATAAATCAACTAAATAATAGTAAGTATTTTACCTCTAAATTTGCTCCAGCCAATACAGCCGATCTTAGATCACAATTTCGTAAAATAGCATTCTTTAACGTGGCCACTCTCAGATTAACTGCTGGCATATTACTTCCTTCAAAATCCGCATCTCGAAAATCTGCTCCCTCCATATTTGCAGGCAAACCATTAGGATCTTCAAAATTACACGAACGTAAATTTGCAGAAGCCAAGTTGGCACATGGCATTCTTACGCATGAAAGCAGTGCACCTTTAAGGTTGGCACGTGATAAATTAGCTCGTTCAAAACAACATCCAGTTAAGTTAGCGCCTGCTAGATTACAAGAATCCATAACAGCATACTGAAAGAAATAATTATATAATAAGCACGAAATACGACTTCCATTGGAAATTAACTATTGTGGTAAACAAACCTTAAAATTAATATTCCTAAGATCCAACTTGGAAAGATCAGCACCTGAGAAATTAACACCCTGAAATCTCAATTCAGAAGCTGGCGATGTAGACATGATCGCTTTCACAACGTGTTTGCGGTTTAAAGTTATGAGACCATCTCCTGGAGAATTTTTTTCATTGGCCATTTTTGTAAGAACACTTATAGCATTTTCCATTCCATAATAATGAGCCTCTGCTAACACACCTAAAATGAAAAGTATAGCAAATAGAAAATATATATATAAATATGTGCTCGCGCGCGCGTGTGTGTTCTATATTTGATTGATTTATAAAAAAACGTACCATCTACGTTAACATTAGAGTTTAATATTATAAGATTATGCCTTAAGAAATTCAATAATGGTTCAAAATACACAGGACTTCTATCAATTAAGAAGGCACCTGTGTGATCTTTCAAACTTGGCTTTAATGTATCATCAGACTTTTGCGTTCTTGTAAACATTCTATAAAGTCAACATTATATTTACAATCACATACTATTTTATATTTGCATTATGCAATGCAAGTAGGATCATACAATTGAAATATATGAAATTATTCAAACCTGGCTAGCATACTCATCGGTTCATTTCTTGTTAATGTACTTCTCGTAGTAGTAAAATATTTTCCACCAACATTTAATGTAATCCATTCTGAATCTTCATTCATTTGATCATCATTGGCAACTTTATTTTTATAAATGAAATCTTCTCCGCTTGAAACATATAATATATCGTCATCTCTATAAAAATAAATTCAATGTAAATAATAAAGGAAATTAACAATTAAGAAAAGCAACAACTTTTTAATGTTTCAAACTATAACTTAATGATTTTACCTGATCAATTTAATATCATCAATTTCTCCACCTTGCGGAGTAAAAATTCTTTTAGCACTGATTTCAAACTTTGTACTAGCAGCTGACAATAATTCTTCTACAGAATGTGTAACCATAAATACCTATAACAAGTAAGACATCGGTAGTAAATCAAAAATTCGTTGCTCTTATTTAATTATAATACACGCTTACATAATGATTTTCATATATTTTTACACTAACAATAAATTATTAACATTTAAATTTATAATTTGGATTTTTCTATATCAGCAAATTAAAATATAGTATTTTGTGGAGATTTTGTTAAAAAAAAACAAATTATAGTTTTAAACGAAAGCATTTGTTAAAAACGTATATTAATATTTAAATGAAATTTAAAGAAATATAACCTTGCCGTTGACATCGGTACCGTTCACAAAAAGTATCACTCTCTTCATAGTTTGGCAATGATGAACTTTCGCGGATTGAATAAAACACCGGTAATCGCCGGTGACGTTTTATCGACTAAATTGTACCTACATAATCTACGGAAATATTAACATGTTTTTATCTACGAAAGCACGAAGTAATGGATAACAAATTTGCGTAATACTTGTTTGACAACCTATCAAGACGAATATGCACGTAATAAGAGCAATTTTTTCGAGGATAAGTTGAATAGAAAAGTTTTCAAATTACTGTACATAGGATGTTCAGGATTGACTCACCGTTCAGGATTGCGTCACCGTTTGCCCAATCGAATAATTTTAATTATTTTCAAAAATAATAGTAAATATATGGATCATCGCGCCATACAAAAGTTGCCTTATATTCTATATTCATAAGCATTTATATGTTTACGGATCTTTTTCAAGTTTTTTTTTACAATACGAAATAAAAATAATTTAGGAAATTGTTATGTGGTTTTATTAATTGATATAAATAAATAAAAATAAAAAATAAAGCGTACAAATAATAGTACCAATTGATGAGAATCTCTAAATGTTTTCTATGTAGAACTCTTATTATTTATTCTAAGAAAGTTAGAATATGCAATATCTTTGTTCTTATCTCATCATACATGACAATAAATTTGAGAAATACCTTTCAGGCTGTTGACCACATTAAGCTCCAACACGAAGATCTTTTATTTCTTCTTGTATATCTCTCTTTTTTTGTTACTTTTCAAAAGATACATAAACGCTATTTTAATATTATATAAAAATGTTTCTTAATTATTAGTAAAAAATAAAAAAGAGACTTGGGATCTGTATATACATTTAAAATGTGTCATGATAAATTAATAAATATTTTTAAATATATATATGTGTATATATATATATGTGTGTATGTAATAAAGTATATTGTTTTTGTAGAAACTTAATTCCAGCTGGCTGTATAATTTCAACGCTTAAATTTCAATAATATTAATTTTACTTAACATAAATTTCTAATATGACGTGTGTAAAAGACTGGTTGTATCGCGTTTAGTATATATCATAATCCTAATAAATAGATTAGAAACGTTGTTAATATAAATAAATTACTTTTGTGAAATAAATTATATACTAAACTATAATTATATATACATTTCACATAATGGGAAGCATATCAAGATTTTAAAAAAGAAGTAGATTAATATTTTGTAATTCATGTATACATATATGTTTATATATATTTATATGTGTATGAAGTATTATTTTTATTTTCCGACGGTTAAGAACCTCTTGCAAGGAGGAAAAATATTGTTTACTTACTGTTAATTGCAAGTGTATTCATTTAATTTTAAATATCAAGGCCTCGTGCATACTGCAGCAGTGATTAAAGTTTAGAACGATATGCTAAATAAATTAGCAAAATTGTCCACGTTTGTATTATTCCTTAGCCTAAATGAATTAATGAAATCGCGTCGCTGCTCCAGTATGTATGCCATATATAAACTAATTAAAAAACAAAACGGGAAAAAAAATAAGATAAATTGTAAATATGTAAATTCCATTTTAATGGGAATTCAGATACGTATTATGTTCTTATGAATATCTAGGTATATCAATATTATTCGATTATTTTTAAATTTGTATATATGTACATGTTAAATGAAATTTATATGAAACATGTAGCATACATGCTAGTAATACAGTAATGAAGACTTGACAAAAAATTGGATCTTCGAACAATGGAAACATTTTATAATTACATGCAGATAATTAATGTAAGAAATAAGGGACATTTATATTTAATTTACTAAGGTTAAAATAGTGTGTAGATATATTTAACATATCTTGTGACACTCTTAGCTTTAAAAATTGCTTCTATGTGAATGCCAAGTTGGATGTACAATTTATTGACATTAGTCAGCAAAAGAGTTTTTCAAAGTTTGAAGCATTAAAATGAGGAATAAACTGTTTTGTTTTTTTTTTTTGATTTAATACATTTAGTGAATTAGTTGCAATTAATATCATGCTTTTACAAAATGGATTTATTTTTCTTGCACATTTACTTCTATGTAAGTAAAATAATATAAGTATAATAATATAGGTAGAATTTAGCATTTTGCATGTACATTATGTAGATTGATTTTTAATGGATATCTATTTTGCAAAAAGATTCTTCACTTTTTCATTTTGTACAGAATTCCCATTCAGACGAAGATAGAAACTGTACAATTCAAAGGACCAAACGAATGTTTGGCACAGAGCATTTTTTTTTCGATGAATCAATATTATGTACATCCATATGCTCATAATAACAAAAGATTAATTTGTCTTTAACTGTGTCTTTACCATATCTTATATTAAAACTGTCCAACTGGCAGGATTACACAGAGATAAGAGAATTTTGCTATAAAAAAAAACATAGTTTATAAATGTTTATAAATGTTAAAATTTCAGTTTTTCTTATTTTTTGATTTTTTTTTTATCTCTTTGCACTATAATCATTTTTGTCATTTCTCTTCTCAGGCAACTCTAACTTCATTTTCTTCTATTTTAATATCTTAGGCAGAAACAATTGTTACAGTTATTTAATCCTTTGCACTCCTCAATCACCTCCGACATACCAATATTTAATTAATAAAATGCAATGTTTCAAATTCCTTGTTTAATTAAATATGACATAAATATTATGAAGAGTATATAACAAAGCAAAAAATACATGCTCTTTAATCTATCAAATAATCGAACAAATTAAAGAATTATTCTTTTTTGTTTCATCAGTGCCACGTCAGAAGTGATTCAAGAGTTTTAGGGAAAATTAGTATTGTCACACGCCAGCAATGTGAGTGCAAAGGGTTATATTTCTTTCTAATAATTTCACTTACAAATTAAATTATAAAAGAAATCTGTGAGCAGTAAAATTCACTTATTATATTTATTAGAAGCAAAGTCTGTAATTTATATACCACCATCAAATGTAGTAAACATGTAGTACAGTAACTCATGTTACTCCGATGATGTATGTCAGTATTGGCAGCTTGACAGACATATATTTGCTTATCACTTATCTTCAGTTAGACAGCTCAATTGTTATTCGGCATATAGGCATAAAAATTTGTTTTTTTTTTCCTTTGGATATATTTAGAAGATCAAAATCACATTCGCGCGCATGAATTTCGTAATCTCCAGTATTTGAGATTGTATCACGAAGTGCACCAATCTGGTGTATAATTTTGTTATAGACGAAATGTTATAACTCGTTGATATTTAAGCTATGGATTATTGGATTAGATATTTTACAAAGCGTATCCACTAATCGATGAATGGACGATCGTTTACGCTATAAATGAATAGTATTACTGACTAACATCAATTTGCTTAATGTTATATTAAATACATTTACAAGTTCACAATAACCTGTGGTTAATAAGAAACGTAATGAGAATGCTATTTTTGTTATAGCTCTTTGCAGTGCTAAATCTCTGCAGGAATGTATGCATCATTTTATATTACACTAGGATGATTAAATTTGAAAATGCCAAGTTTTGCTTACAAATGCAAAATATAGATCATTGCTGTAAAATCTTTGAATTTTTAATGGTTCTTTGTTTGCACACATATTAGTAAATGCATCTTACCTGTAAGATTTTGTAATTACTTCTAGCAGAAATGCCTTAGCACAGCAAAGAATTTTGATATTGAATTTGTTTGAGAAATATCTTTCTACTTACACCCCCAGTGTAATGGAAACGTCATTAGAAATAGCAGCACTATGAAAAGCAGCGAATTAGAAAGTTATAACAAAGAATGTATTAAAGCTGGTTATCTTGCACAATATAAAAAAGAATGCAAGTTTCCAGACCAGCATTTGTCTGTATAATTTTCTTGGCAAATTTGACTATTTTTGTAAAAGGGTCTCTTAAATAAAGCTATATATATTTAAATTCGGAGTACTGGACGCATTAAAATGCATTCGATTATTTATATCTAAGAGTAACGAGAAAGAGTATAGGATACTAGTGTAATTACGTTGCATGTCTCTAAAGTATGTATAACTTATATTTCTCATGATTCTTTTGTTATGGAACACTTTATTGCACAATAGCTGCAATTTATCATTACTAGATTAAACATCCAACTTTATCTTTTGTACCTTTTTTAATTTTATTAAATGAATCCAATGTGTGTGACACTCTTTTGATGCACCGACTTCCACATGAAACATAAATAATTACATATATATACGATCATTCAAATATGTGCGTGCCTCTATGCAGACTCGAATGCAGAAAACTCGCCTCGACTTAACTGGATACCGAGACGAACGTTATTTTCGACAGTATTCGGTGCAATACAAGCGAGAAAGAGCTAAGGGTCCGAGTAGATCCAGACATCCTCCTCAATGGGGTTACACAAACCGACTCTATGTCAAGAATTAAGGTCAGTTGTTGCCAATAAATCCCAATATTACATTTCGATGGTAGCTTATTCTTAAAAAAAAAAAAAAAACAAAAAAAAATAAAATAAAATTAAGAAATAATGTTATCTGTTTGTGTAATCGTGTAATGATTTAACTGAATACCTAAAGTATGACTCTAAAAATTAATCAAATTCCCAGCTATTTGTTCAATATAAAGATTCATATATACAGTTCTTATGAGTTTACATAGTATCCATTCACTCTTCCTTCGATTCTACTCTTAGGTTATTTCTAGAATTAAGCAGCTGCTAGCTTAAATTACAAGAAGTAGATATGTGCAGCTGACGTTTGCCACACCTTTGGGGGTGTGATTGGTCCTAGCTGCTGGTAGAAGCAATAGGGCTGACGGGACTTAAAGGGGTACGTGCTGAATCCCTGAGACAACCGGTCAATGTTATGATTAATTTGCGACTTCCTGCATTATCACGATGTTCACAAAACCAAATACCTTGCCATGTACCAAGAGCTAACTTTCCATTCGTAATTGCAATGCTTAATGAAGATCCCAAAAAGCATGCTTTTACATGAGCCGGCTAAAAAAAAAAGTTTTAATCATAATTGCTATAATCATATATTATATATTTTATAATTATTATAAAATTATAGAACTTACCATGTCGTCTGGACCTTCGCAATCATGTCTATAGTCTAATCCTTCAGGAATGATTTTATTAAGCATCATTTCTATATCATCTCTTACATCAGGATCCCAGCTTTCATTTAATGCTAAGCTAGCTGATGTATGAAGAACTGGTATAAAAATTGAACATGATTGTTTTAAAAATGTTGTTATATATACATGAAAAAAGTAGATTAAAAAAACAAATAACAGTTAGATAATTAAAGAAATAAATTTTTTTCATATACTTCCTAAAACTTCTTTTCCTGAAAATATCATATATACATACTGCATATGTGCATGACTTAACGATAGATAACATATTTAAAATAATCTAATAATTATTTATTGATTTTTTAATATTATCTCAAAAAATAAAAAGCAAAGCAAAGCTGTAACACAGCATAGAGAACATCTTTTATACTTTAATATATATGTGAATAAAATTGATTGTGGTATATGTCATGTGTTAACTATTTACAGTTAACAATAT